GATATCTAATAAAATAGTCAGGATTTATTCACTCGGGGTTCCTCTCGGGGTTGGGTTGGGGGGGGGGGGAGGTGATTAATTAATTAATATTTAATAGTAAGGTCAATTCATTAGTATTGCCATGTTTGGAACATAGATTTGATGTCTTAGGATTTTTTGCTGTCTGTCTTACTACATTTCCCAAACTAAGTAACAATCACCACCACCACCACCACCACCACAACCACCACCAACTCCCACCACCATTTTATTCTACGCTATTACTATAAGTGATGCTTATGTGTATTTTAATCTATTTTATATGGTCTACACTTTTTGTTTTTGTTTGTCTTTTTATATATGTTTTTATTTTATTGTTTTGTGTTTTATTAAATTTGAGTGAATTAGTTATGTCGATTGAGTATGTATATATCTTTATTTCATAATTAGAGTTATATGTATTAGTGGAGGAAGTCATAGTAATTTATTTCTCCCCACTTCGGTTTGAATTTTTTTTTTCCAATTTAGGAACAATTTTAATTTTTTGTTTCCCAATTATTCGCAATTTCATTGATAATGGAACGAGCTTAAGCTTATAGACAATGTAGCACGGACACAGAAACATCGATACGACGAAATAGGAAAACGGACACGGGAAACTCCATGTTTCAAAACCCACAAGTTCGAAGTGTGTGCAAGAACGATGTATAACATAAAGACGGACGGGAGTCTGTACTGTTTTTATACGCATATAAAACATTAACAATCTTCATTGCCAAACAAGAACCAAAACAAAAAAGAAAGAAAGAAAGACTAAAATACCCTCACAAGAGGGTTAATGTATGAGAAGGCCATTTGCCCCCTTTCCAATCCATCATCACTTTAATAGATTCCACAAGGCAAAAAGATGCGGACAAAACAGTAAAACCAACAATTGTAACCTTACTATACACACATTGATCATACATACATAACTTTTTGTGCAGTGTACTTAAATAAATAAAATAAATTCAATATAATGCCTCATTCAATCTTACTTTACACAATTTGTAATGTGTTTCAACCTTCAAAGTTGTGCAATGCATCAAACTGTAACTTGGTCAATGATATATGTATATAATTGGTGATATATATGTACATGGGGAAATTTAATATTTATAAGCCCAAGTGTTAGTTGTGTATATTGGAATATTTTCTATAGTGAAAATTTGGTGGATGGTCGGGAGTTTAATTCGAACCGCTAACTAGACTTGTAGTGGTACGAACTAGGGTGGTGTTTGTAAAAAAAATTATTTAAAATCAGAAGTTAAAGATTGTGAATAATTAAGTCAGTTTTTATATCTAGAAGTTGGGGGCGTTTGCAAATTTGCTCAAAAATCAACTTAAATTTGTTTGTAAAAGCTTTTGCAAACACATCCGATCGAAGTGTTTGATTCTAAATATTGAGGTGTTTGCAAATAATTAGTTGGAAAATCAATACAGGTGTTTTTAAAATTATAGATTATAAAACAGCTTATTTATGAGAAGCAAAAACAAAAATTTGTTCTCCTAACACCTAAAAACAGATTATATGCATAAAAAAAACTCATAATCTATTTGTAAAAGCTTTTACAAACACCACCTAAGTATGTATTAAACCATTAAGTTCATACGATTCTGACGAAAAATAAATAAATAAATAAGTAAATAAATTGTATTTATTATATGATACATAAATGATAAAAGAGAAAAGGGGGGTCCCGTTTTGAGGTTGCAAGGACCATGGTTTTGCAGCCTTCATCAATTGCTATCACTGCATATATATAAGTATACGTACACTCTCAGGTGCCTTAATATAATATATAATATATTTATATTATTTACAGTGTTACATTTTAATGGAAAATGAACATAGGAATTTGGAGCTATTAATTATTTGATCCAAAATAGGATGATATAGTTTTCATAGAAGCTATCTAGAATCTGTTTAGAGGATGATAAGGCTACCCTGGTTTTATTTTATTTGACCTATCATATCATATGATATAACAGTATTATTAGCCCTACATATATAAAGTTTTGTGGATTTTTAAACAAGTTTTAATTTGTTTTTTTGTGAAATATCTTTAAATAAATTTTTTTTTTTTTGATTACTTTTAGAGGAGATTCAAATAATTGTTAGGAAAGCTAGAGATGAAATATAAAATACGTAATACATCGGTATTTTAAGTGTAATATTCGGAGGAAAAAAATCGGAGTTTTCTGATTATTTACGGAACTTAAAATCGGATCGGAAATCGAAATCTCATATATATTCGAATTCCAATCCAAATAATTTTCAAAAATAAAATTGGAATTCGGAATTCAGATTGAAAAATATTGTTTCAAAATTGAAAAATTTCAGATCTTAATAGCGGAAATTGGAATTCCTCCTATGTTGGAATTAATACCACAACTGAATTGGGCTTCTTAAATAAGCTCGGCCCATTGTATATGAATTAATATATGAGTTAACTGGGCCGAAGTACTAAATATTCGTGATCCGAATTATTATTTATTTATTATTATTTTTATTTTATTTTTGAGAATTAAAATTAAAGATGCAAACAATAAATTGTAAAAGCATCATTACATTACAGACAAGAAAAATAATCCCCTAGAGGTGATTTTATTTCACGCGCTCCTATTTTTACAATCCTTTTTCCTCTGTATGTATATATATACATTTCATTTTCGACAAACAAGCTAAATTTAATTATTTTCAATTAAATTGGGCTTGCATTAATTAATTAATTATTTTCCTGCTCCTTTATTCCTATATTCCTTTTTTTTACATTTTACCAAAAAACCTGCAATTATCAACAACCTAGTTACCGGCAACCAGCAGATCCGGTTGCCGCGAAATCACCGGCCTAATTTGTTCCTTCCATAAACTGCTGAACAAATTTGCTTCCCCAGCCTTCCTCTTCACCTCCACAACCGCCAGCGTGTCGGTCAACCTGTAAACCTCCACCATCACAATGAATTTACCATTCTGCCCCTCAAGCTCCACCCCGCATTCCTTCTTCCTCCTCCTCTTCAACGCCACACCCCCTTCCACCGCCGCCTTCACCACCTCCTCCACCTTCTCAATAACTCTCTCCGGCGACTCCTCCACCGTCAGCCTCTCGACATCCTCCAGCTCCTTGACACTCCGATCGAACAATCCGGATAGATCCAAACCCGAAGAGAAAGAGATGATGTCGAAAGCGTTTAGACCCAGCAGTACTTTCTTCTCCTTCGATTCTTCGTTTTCATGGAATGAATCGATCTCTCTGTAGCTCTTTCTGAACCAGGGATCACGCTTGATTTCATCAATGGTGATTCTGGTGCTGGGGTTCGTATCGAGAAGACGAGACAAAAACCGCTTCAGACCGGAGGACATCCAATTAGGGCACCGGAATTCCCCCTTGTAGATTTTTTTGTACATGTTCATCAAATTGGTGTCGCTGAAGGGCAAATACCCGGCGGAGAGGACGAATAGGATGACGCCGCACGACCAGACGTCGATCTTCGCGCCGTCGTAGCCTCTCTTAGTGAGAATCTCCGGCGCCACGTACGCCGGCGTGCCGCAGAGCGTGTGCAGCAGCCCGTCGGGCTGGACCTGATCCGTGAGCACCGCGCTGAGGCCGAAATCGGAAACCTTGAGGTCGCCGTTCTCGTCGAGGAGGAGATTCTCCGGCTTCAGATCCCGGTGGTAGATGCCACGGGAGTGGCAGTAGCTGACGGCGGAGATGAGCTGCTGAAAGTACTTCCGGCAGGCGGACTCGCCGAACCGGCCCTTGGAAACCTTCGCGAAGAGCTCCCCGCCCCTGACGAATTCGAGGACGATGTAGATCTTAGTCCTGGTGGCGAGGACCTCGTAGATCTTGACGATGTGCGGGTGGCGCAGCCGGCTCATGATTGAGACCTCGCGCTTGATGGCGGCGATGAGGTTGGCGTCGTTGTTCAGCCTGGTTTTCTGGATTACTTTGATGGCGACGCTTTGGCCGGTGGCCATGTCTCTCGCGTGGTACACCTTCGCGAACGCGCCGCTGCCGAGAAGTTTTCCGATCTCGTATTTGTTGAACAGAGCATTTTCCGATGAGAAAGCCATGGCCGGCAGTAATTGGGGGCTGCCGGCTTAGCCCTAGCCTCTTCGATTTACCCAACTATCAATCAATAGACCTCACCACGAGGAGATTTTGAAGTATTTATATTTATAAATTATAATTAATAATAAGCAATGAAAATTGGAGGGAAAGAATGAAATAAATAAATAAATTATATTTCAAACTGAAAAGAGGATAAGTCTTTAATTAATGTTTGGCTTGGAGTATTAATAGGCGTAGGGGGTGGGTTTATTTGTGTTTAGTTATTTTTGGTAGGGAATAATAATTTTTTAACAGACGCATTTGATGGTCGAAGATTTCGACCAAAGTGTCTATAATGGTTCGTTGGTGGTTTCTAATATTTCAAAAGTCCGGTCAAACAACTATATTATTAAAAAATATAAAATAAAGGGCGTGGTTTTCTTAATTACATTGAAATTTCTTAATTATAGTGTTTTTGTCAAATTGCTAATAATATATTGAAGTGATAAATGATGATTGTGTAGTGACAATACGCATAATGTGTATAATTTTACTCCAAAATCTGATTTTTTTTTTAAAGTGAAATAGGTGATGGGCATTAACCATCAACCAATCCATACCAAAACTTCGGTTGACAACCATCAACTGACCCACAAATGTTGGATCAACCACGGTTTTCAAATTTGAGCAAATGTGATTTATCGGATGGGGCAATTTTCAGGCTGTTAATCGATCGACCTAAGACGGTATCAACCCTAATTTTTTGAATGAATGGGTCATATTATAACCAATGTTGTAAAAAGTGGTAATTGGGTCGGAGGCGGTTAGGGACCGACTCATGATTAATCGATGCGGCGGTGATTAATCGGTGATAAATCTGTTTTTAAAATTTAATATAATATATTTCTATATATTATTTATAGGGTAAATTACACCCACACCCCTGAGGTATGCTTAAATAATTTTAAGGTCTCTATGGTATCGATAATTACATTCACCCCTTGAAACATAGTTAGAAACTCTAACGGGATAATGCATTGGATACATTATTCCGATAGGGTTCTAATGGACTATTAATTTTAGCTAGTGGTGGAGATAACATAGAGTTATGGGGAGTTATGAGGTGACATGGCTCCCCCAATATTTCTTAAATCACTCATAACTCTTTGTTGTCTCCACCACTTCCTGAAACCAATAGTCCGTTAGAACTCTATCGTAATAACGTATCCAATGCATTATCCCATTAGAGTTTATAACTACGTTTCAAGGGGATGAGTGTAATTATCGATACCACAAGTACCTTAAAGTTATTTAAGCATACCTCAGGGGTGTGGGTGTAATTTACCCTTATTTATAAATACTCAAAACATATATAAAAAGATATTTAAACATAGTTATATCTCCATCATGTATATATCCTGATAATATAATAAAAGTTTAATAATAATAAGATCATAATACATAAATATCCTTATAAAATATAAATAAAAAGACAATGTTTTACATTTATTCTTGAACATTCCTAGCATACATCATTAGTTTTTTTAACAATAACAATTAACATAAACAAAATAAAACATAAAATCATATTTTATTTATTAAAATCCCAAATTTTATTTTGAATTATAAAAAAAAAAAAAAACGATTTTTGCCACCGAAGTTTGACCCGCCATAAAGGTTTGACTGCCAAAAACCGCCTCACAGACAAAAAACCAATTTTTCAAACATTTACCCTAAAATCGTAAAGGTTTTTGACCGCCTCCGTCTCGGAGACTGATTAATCGGCCGCCTCAGCCGATGTTTAGAACACTATTTAGAACAAGTTTTTAGGGCCCGTCCAATCCGGGCCAGCCCGCATAGTATAGGTTGGGCCTAAACAAGACCCTAGGCTTGGCCCATGTACCCAATTCAAAGCTATCATCTTTTTCCGCCTACGTTAGTTAATTCTTCATTTTTCGCCCAAAAAAAATCAGAAATAATTTGGCTAAACCCTTGCTCTAAATCTTTTACACAGTACCACTGTCATTCTAATTGAGGTATTCCACTTCGATTCCTTGATTTCCCGAGCTCTGTAATCATGTTTATCTCTGAATTATTTCTTTCTGTGGAACACGTAGTGTGTGGGATTCCTTATCAGCTCTGATTTCCATATTTGCTGTTTATTGGCTCCGTTTTCCACCATTTGCTGTTTTTATTGGTATTTACCGAGCGAATTTCTGAGAAATGGCGTTTGAAAAAATGAGGTCGAGTAATAGCGGTGGTACTAGAGTTGGTAGAAAAGTGAGAGTTGCGGTGGGAAACACCGGCGTTGATAAAGCTCATCGGAAAATGAGAGCTGCTACAGGGGTTTTGAAAGTGTCGATCGATGTTGATACGACCCTAGATTCCAACAAGAAGAAGAAAGGGGGTAAAAAATTGCGGAGCGGTGATGAGAAATCGGGTGAAACACGTACCAAGGGGAAAATTGATTTCGAAACAAAGAGTCGAAATGAAGTGCGAAACGGTGATGAGAAATCGGGTACGAAGGAGGGGAAAAGGGATTTCAAAGCGAAGAGTCGAAATGAAGGTTTTGGAACTGTTATTGATGGCAACTCTTCCGGTAATAATAAACGGAAGAGAGTCTATGCTGATAATGATAATCCCAGTGTGGTGGTTGAGGGGGGTAAAAGATTTGATGGTAGTGATCGAAACTCCAGTTCTAAATCAAGAAACACTACTGTCGGGTCGTTTGTCGATAAACGCAAGAAGCTCTCGAGGGGGGACAACGACCGTCGTGAATTTAAGGATTCTAGCAGAGACAGATTGTTGAGAGGGAGTAGTGATAAATTCAGGGGAAGTAGTGATTTAGGCGATGGGAAATCTAGACGTGTTCGAGAGAACGGGTTAGAAAATGGGGTGTCGAAAACAGGCGATAAGAGGAGAGCTCCGTTATTGGCAACTAAAACGTATGTGAACCGGAGAAAAGATTCGGTTGGTTCTGTTGAGAAACCTCGTAAGAAAAACGATGCGTCTAGGAAAGGCTCGGGTGCTAATTCAGATTCGACGGAGGAACTGCGGATGAAGACGAAACGAGTTATCCGAATAGACCCTCGTGATATATCCAACAAGAGAATTGACGATGAAATTGATATTAATGGTTAGTGTACTTTTCTGTTCTGATGTTGATATATCCGTGTTTGTTTCATTTTACGATTTTGAGATATTCTGTTCTTGCTATTATGCTATATGATGGGTACTGATCCTCCATCCGTTTTGCATATTATCTCCGTACATTTTCGTTTACTGGATTTCGAATTTCTATATTATATCCATTGTTATTATGCTATATGTAGTAGTGCTACTATTGTGTTTTCTTCTTCGGTGAACGACCTCATGAAAATGGGGCTAACATGAGTTTTGGCTTGCAATTACATTGTAAAGCTGCATTACCACCACAACTAAGAATGAAACCAAAGCTGTTATGCCAAAGCAATTATTCATGTCGAAAACGCACACATGTTTTTTGTAACCTCGTTTGTTATTACTCCAAAATAATCTAGGAACGCGTTGATTGGTATTTATCTTAATTTGCTTTATTTTTTCATCATCCAGGTAATAGTCAAGAAAAGATCGATGTGCCAGATAAAACTGGTGTTGAAATGTCGAAGAATGCGCAATTCCGTGCCATACAACCTAGCTCCTCGATCCTTTCCTTTGTAGAAGACAATGTAAAATCCGTGCTCGGCAAGCATATATTATATACTCTAAATAACTCCGTATTTCAAATATTTTTGGTCACAATGCTTACGAACTTTACATATTCTTTTTTCTCAGTTATTAGGACGTAGACGAGACATTGAGTTTAGGAGGGCTGGCTACAACATCGAGCTTCCTGCTCCTTTAGACAACATTCCTTCGTCAACAGGTCCCGAAAGGGAACGGGTTGAAGTACCAGTACGTACTTATCAATTGTAAAACACTCTACTACTGTAGTATTTGAGTCTGAGATCGATTTATTACATAATAACCTTTTGTTTCTACTTATAAACGTCCGTTCTGTTTATGTTACAGGAATTTAGAAATAAATTAGAATTCTTTGCTGCTGCAAAGGTTTCCTCGTCGTTTCCCCCTCCCGATCTTTCAGAGATTGCATTTGCAGGTAAGTTGATTAATACAGTCAGTTTAAGAAGTAGTTTATCCTTTTCCCCAGTGAAGTTTGGCTTTTAAGATATTGTTATATGATTCCAGGTTTTTGTAAACTCGTAAGATTCTATAATGTCGAAATAAGAAGATACTAAATTGGCAAATTGAGTTTTTATGTTTTTTTTCCTCGCGCAATGTTTTTAAATTGGCAAATTGGCAAATTGGAATTTGTTATATCAAAATCCTTCTAGGAAAAAAAGTAGTCTGGCTTTATTTATAATATAAATATTTATGTTGGATTTCAATTTTATTTGTTAGGACGGTCAAATGTGGGAAAGTCGTCGTTGCTTAATGCACTAACCAGACAGTGGGGTGTTGTACGGACATCAGATAAGCCAGGCCTCACACAGGTGCTGAATATTTTGCTGCAGACGAATTCGAAATATATTGGACATGCGTACTGACAATAATTTAACAATCCTTTTTGCAGACGATCAATTTTTTTAAGCTCGGATCAAAGCTATGTTTAGTGGATTTGCCGGGTTACGGTTTCGCTTATATATATATATATATATATATATATATATATATATATATATATATATATATATATATATATATATATATATATATATATATATATATATATATATATATATATATATATATATATATATATATATATATATATATATATATATATATATATATATCTTCCCTTGCTTTAGGGCAGGAATAGCGGGTTTATTCATGCCTCGATTCACGCATACTTTGCAGGTGAAAGAGTACGTCAGCACACGTGTTGGTCTAAAACGAGTGTGTCTTCTCGTAGACACAAAGTGGGGTTTGAAACCGAGGGACCACGAACTTATTGATTTGATGGAAAGGTACATACGTGTTAATTTACAATATCGGCATCTATATGTTTTTTTGTTGCTACTGCTTCTTATTGTACGTGATTGTATTTAGGGTAAAATACAATTTCCCACCCCTGTACTATAGCAACTGTCGCATTCAACCCCCCTATACTAACCGGAAAATACAATTTTAAAATTGCTAATATTTATCCACTGCATTTTGATTGTGGGTGGCAGGTCTGAAACCAAGTACCAAATAGTTTTAACAAAAACAGATTCTGTTTTCCCAATCGACGTGGCTCGACGAGCAATGCAAATTGAAGAGGTAAGTGTTGCAAGCCTGTTCGAAATTATATTTAATCAACACTCTTCTCTTTTTTTGACCTGGACCAATTTCTTCGATTTTTACAGAATCTCAAAGCAAAGAAGTCTGCAGTGCAACCCCTGGTAAGACGGAGACACATCGATAACTGATTTTTGTTTACTTGGCATTCGTTGACACATAAACGAATCATGTTAGAAGATAATTCGTCTCTATTTTAGGTTAAGTGGATATTCTGGCTTTTCAAAATTTATATTCTGACAAATCGAAATGACAAATAAGCCTATTTTTTAAACCGCAGATGATGGTAAGCTCGAAAACAGGGGCCGGTATCAGGAGCTTGAGGACTGTGCTTTCTAATGTTGCTCGGTTAGTGAGGCGCTAGAATGCGTCGTTTCTTGACAAAGGTATGCATGCATGCAAATGCTGGATTAGTTTTAAATTAGCGAAAAAAATTATAATTAATTTGTTCTGAACTAATCTTGTAAGAGAAACCGACTTGCAAAACAGAAACGTGTACTAATGTGTTTGCGAAACACGTATGTTGAACAGTTGAGCTATAAGTCGAGCACTTGTTCCGGTTTTTTTAGCCCGAAAAAGCTGTGTTCGAATTTGTTTTGATTGGTTTGTGTAGTTCATTTATATCCTTCATTAGAATTAAAAGCTGTTTGACGATTTTAATAATCGCAAATGCAAGGAGAATATAATCAATTAAAAAAAATTATTTTGGGAATGATAATGAATGAAGATTATCAAGACCCCATTCATAAATGATAATTAAACAGCCTTTAATTTAAAGAATTAAAGATATATCCATTCTAATACTGAATTTCAGCTAAAGCTATTTATTATTGCACACTGAATAAAAGAAACAAAATTAGAGAATAACCATAATTTTCAAACAATTATGACATTCTTAAAAAGATAAAGTGATAATAATGTTTTATTCCTTTCTTTATGCAGTAATTAGGTCAAATTGGGTTATTACATTATTCACCAAATAATGTTCGATACAGTCCCGCAACCTAGCAGTTGGAGTAAGTGAATTTTCAAATCCCTTTGGATAGTTATGTTGAGCTTGTTGCGATTTGTCAGCCTAGTGTGATTTACGTCTCTCATATAATTTACAAGATGTTAATACGAGAGTGTAAGCAGATTCCTTCAATAAATTAATGTTCAATAGACTTTTTCTCATCTTGACTAGTTCTTAAGAGGAAATGGGCAAATTTGTCACCATTCCAACTAATATGCACACAACCTTATCTTTAGTTACAAAATGTGGACTTTTCGCATGGAATAAAAACGTGTTTCTAGTAACTTGAATTAATTATCATTCAACTATATTGAATTTTTCTTTTATTTATTTATTATTTGACTTTTTCAATAATGGAATCCCACCAACTATATCTGTCATGGCTGCTTTGCTGCTTTTGCAAGCATCGGAGTTTAAAAAATTTGTTTGTTGCATACACGTATTTACCCATTTCTATAGGTGCTTACTTTTTACTAATGTTTGAAACAATCCCAAATTTCAATAATTAATTTTTTATTTTATTTTATTTTATTTTTACTATTTAAGATAGTGATCTTATGTCTATTGTTTTTTCAATAATATATTATGCGACTAGTTTTGTAGAACCTACATCTGGTGAAATACACTATGTACTGTAGATCTATAGTTGAAAATCAATGATGTATTTTACCAGGTGTAGTATCTTATAAGTCACTATGTAACTTATAATCCTTCGATTTAAAATTCAATTACACTGCCGATGAAACAATGTACCACTTCTATATTTTTCGAGATTTGAGTGTTAAATCGTATCAAGAAAATAATGGGTCGGTTAATTTGGTAACTTGAAAAATCAGTATTGTAACTTTTAAAAACTTATTCCAGTCGCTTTTTTTCATACCAATTAAGCTTTGGCTTAATGAGAGGTCGGAAATTCAAATCTCTTTGGGTGCATGTGTTTCGAAAAAAAATAGTTATACAATCAGTGTAGTAAAGTTAACGCCAATTTAACAAGATATTCATCAATGTAGTATAATTAAAAGTCTATATTGTCAATAAAGTCAATATAGGTAGCTTACATATCACTGAAATTAGCTGATTTTCACTAAAATTAACGTTAATTTGAAGAGCTTTATATCAATTTAGTTAAGTGTAATCCAATTAATCCCTATTCCTAAACTAATTACATACTCCTATTCCTGAATTAATTAGGATTAAGAGATTCTGAATTTGCCCTATTCTTTACGCGCATAGGGTCAAGGATTAGGTGAATTGATTGACCAAACCCATTCAAGGATTATTATTTTAAAAAATTGACATTGGTATTTATAAAATCGATCAATAATTGTGAGTAACATGACCTAATAATAATAATAATAGTAGAAATATACTAGAATTAAATCAACTCCCATTAACACTAATAATAAATACCATTATATTCTTCTCTCCTCCCAATAATCAAGTAATTTTTTTTTCTCTCTCTAGAAAATCAAGAGAGAGAAACTCGGAGATGTGTCCGCTCAGAATAATTCTCATCTTTCTCTCTGCTACCCTCGCCGGATTCTTCGTTCTTAGAAACCTCAACTCTTCGCCGGACCCCCTGAACGACGACGGCGTCGACGTCGCCGAAGAAGCTGAATCCACCGGCGCCGCTCCCATGTCTTCCAAGGTATTTTATTCGTCTTAATTCCTTTTTTTTATTCTTCCTCAATTTTCAATTTTGAAGTAAAAAAATGGCTGAGGTTGAAAATTTGTTTTTCGAAAGTCGATAATGAAGCGAAATTATGTAGTGTACATGCAATTACAGATCAATTGATGATTTGTGAAATTTGTTTTTTAATTGTTCTTCCATAATTTGTTGAAATTGAGCCCTGAGTGAATTTTATTTTCCTTGTATGAACAATTCTGTATTGAGGGGGAAAAAAAATTGAATTTCATAATGTGATTTTAGGTTTGCGCGGCCGTGGGGAAGGGGTTTTGGACATTTGTTGACATGGCAAGCGGCAAATATCTATGGAGGAACTTAGCTTCTTCATCCTCTTCGACGGAGAAGCTCTCTGCCGATTAATTCGGTCAGTAATACGTCGTGTCCGACAGTTCTTTTTCTGTTATGGTGATTTTTTCTTGAATAATCTCGGTTGTAGAGTTTTTACATACGTGCTTCGAAAAAGCAAGAATGAAAATTGTGTTGCCGTACTTCTTGTGAGTTGTTATGAAACGATTGCTTGTATAGATGAAGATCATACAATTTTATATCCCCTTTTCGCTCTTTTTTCTGTCGTCAGTTTGACATTATACTCGAATATATAGAATACATTTGTCGACTTTTTGTTAAGCGGGGTTTTACTTGTTATATTGTTTTACTATGTGCGTATTAAATTTGTTATCTTCTCGGAGATCACCTTTTTTTTTTATCCATTTTGTTAAGAGAAGAGACTCGGACTCTTTTTTGATGTGCTCGTTATTCACATCCATTCTTCAAAAAGTAACGAACATCTGACTTAATCTGATATTGAAGTCTTTTAACTACGATCGTTTGGAAATTGCGTTTGTCTAGGCATGGATTGTCTTGAAGAATATATTGTAGTCAATGAATTGTCGAGCAGAGAATAAATTGTGAATGTTAGCTCACCTGTTATAAATTGTGATAAGTTTTTATACGTCGTCCAGCAAAATTTCTTCATACATTAGTTAGGGCCCGAGAGCGGTATTATACCAAAGAATCTGTGATTTTGAAGGATATGCTTGTTATGAACTAATTTTACGTTTGAAATACGTTTCAGCTTTATTTAAAGGTATATCAACATACTTTGCGTTGTTGTGGTTATGTGAAGTGGGGGATCGATTACTTCAACTTTCTTGGTATCATTTTTGCCACTTAACTCTTGTCATTCCCATGCCCTAGCTTTCCGACTCCTTCTCCTAGTCGAAACGAATAGTATATTTGTTTCCATCTGCTTCTTTGAAATTTGGTTTTTTCCGATGAGCACACAGAATAGAGGGCTGTTGGAAGTTGTTATTTATGGTTGAAAAGAAGCATATTATTTTCGTTCTTTTTTACACGCAATTCTAGCAATGCATGTTTCTGACCCGGGCTTTTGACATATGGACGTTTTTCCGATTTGCTAAACAACGCTGGTCTGCAATTTGTCTTGCTTCTGGTGTTATAATTGCACTTATAATAGAAGATATGTCATTCCTTATTTTAGTTTACGGGGTCGTTTTTTTCCGTACACGACTTATTTTAACGATGTGATGGGTGTTTGTGATTGTTTATCATCTTGACTCCAATGGTGAACGTTACTTCAGTTAATGTTAAGTTATGATATGATATAGTAGACTACGACACAATTTTTTTTAATTTTTTATTTTTATTTTTTTATTTCGTATCGTTTGATAAACGACTATGAACCCATCACGCTTTGAAACGTCCCCCTCGTCATCAGTCATCGTTCATCACTGCCATAGATAGCACTCCCCCCTTGCAAAAATCTGATACTAGTGGCAAGGAAATTCAAGTTCGGGTAATTTGGCATTCTCTTTCCACCAACTACTCGACCTCTTGCAGACAACCAAAAACAAAAAAAAAAACAAAAAAATTACGTCATGATCAAGAGTAAATTTATTTTTAACAGAATTTAGTAAAAAAATAACATTGGATGGTATTTAGCACCTCGCATAAAAAAATAATGCTTTAAAGAAATAATCTCTTATATAATATTTGTGAAATAATAATAGTGGTGCTTTATGGAAATTAAAATGATTTATTTTCCTCGCAAAAAAAGGGAAATTAAAATAATAAAAATAATTTCAAACTTCCAAATATCAAGGATTAAATTGAAGGTGGGCCCGGTCCATAAATTCGGCCCAAAAATGAAAGCTGAACCTAGAAATATAAATATTTTAGCCCATTCCATACAATAAAAAAGACGAGACCCGTGTGTTGCAACGGTCGAATTTCTGCAATCGATATTGGGGTATCCATTATCCAATTCTATCAGACAGAACAGAGAGAGAGAGAGAGAGAGAGAGAGAGAGATGGGGAAAAGGAAGGGGAGAAAAGAGAATGAAGAAGAAGCCATACATGAAAACGGTGGAGAAGTGGAAGAAGGAGATGATGGAAAAGGTGCTGGATTCTTCGCGTGCTATCTCCTCACTTCAGTCTGCCCCAGATTCAAAGGCCACACCTACATCGGGTTCGATTCCATTCTGGATTTCACTCCTGATTCATATTGATAATTGATAACTGATGTATAAAATTTCTTCTTTTTTTTTCGTTTTACAGATTTACAGTGAATCCACGGCGGAGAATACGGCAGCACAACGGCGAGATCGGGAGCGGCGCGTGGCGGACGAAGAAGAAGCGCCCATGGGAAATGGTGCTGTGCATCCACGGCTTCCCTACTAACGTCGCCGCTCTTCAGGTGCTTCTTTATCTTCATTCAAAAAAATTAATTAATTTTTTTCTAGACCTAATTTTTCAGCTGCTCGTGTCGGTGAATTATATTATTATTGATATTTCGAATTATTAGAAAGAAACAAGTAAAATTGATTTAATGATGAAATTTTGCTAGTGTTTGATAAATGTTCAAAATTAAATTAATTCCAGTTCGAGTGGGCGTGGCAACACCCGGTCGAATCGCTAGCAGTACGAAAGGCAGCTGTAAATTTCAAATCCCTCTCTGGAATTGCTAACAAGATCAAATTGGCCTACACAATGCTCACTCTTCCACCCTGGCAAAGGTGTTCTTAAGATAATTCTGAATTCGGGTTTTTTTCGTTTTTGTTTTCGGTAGCGTGTACTAACGGCTTCGTTTTCGTCTCTGTCAGTTTGAACCTGACGGTGAATCTGTTCTCGACTAAATACCAAACGCACACCTCGGGCTGCCCTGCATTGCCCGAGCAGATGAGGACAAAAATCTCTCCCATGGATGATTTGCCCTGTTACAATATTGCCAACGATTGTCCAATCGTAAACGATGATGACGATGACGGATGTGAAGGTCTTTCCCATGAATCGACCGAAGAAGAATCATCCAGAAAAAATGACGATTTCCATTACTATAGTAATGAAGAATATATTCACCGAGAAACTGAATCGAGTGGATGCTGCTCAGGAAAAACACGGGCAGAAGTATGGCCGAAGAATTCACCTCCAATTACTGAAGCAACCGACGAAGAATCATCAACAAAAAATGACGGTTTCCCTAACTGTGTAGGTAGTAAGGAAGAATACATTCACCGAGAAATTGAATCGAGTGGATGCTGCGCAGCAAAAACACGGGCAGAAGATTGGCCGAAGAATTCACCTCAAATTACAGAAGACGAAGACAAAGGGCAGTTCTTTATTGTTAATAATAATGAATCCCCTCCTGTAAGAACGTCGTTTTCGTTACATAATAGCTCCTGTATTGCTGGAAATGCGCGAAAAAATCACAGGTTGGTCGAGTTAATTACGGAGGTGGACGAGCCACTTGAGAAAGAATCGGCGGCGGCGGCAACTCGCTTAGTTGCTACAGACAAAGATGAAGTTGAGATCATAGATATAATTACACCATTGCCATGCAAGAAGAAGAGAAGGCCAACTAGTAGTTTCTTTCCTGATGTAATTGACTTGACCAACTCTCCAATGTATGTATAATTAGTGTGTGGAAGGAAAATCATGTATACAAGTTTGTATGAGCACTGTAATTTCCTTGTGTAATCTATCTTTCTTTCTTTTTTTAATTCTTTATTATTATTTTATGGTATTATTATTTACTGTTACTAAAATATTATGCCAATATAAATATTCCACAAAAAACTTTTAAATCCAAAAAAAGGAAAGAAAAAAAGAAAACCTTAATATATTCCTATTTGGAGTCAATATTTATATATATACATAACCATAATATAAATCAAATAATATTTTAATCATAAATATTTCAAGTTTAATTAGGCAAAAATATAAAAAAGGCAAATCCAAAATCAAATAGAACTCTAGTAGGACAAGGGCAAGCCCCACTAAATATATATATGTAGGGGAATATTCGAGAACAGGTTCACCAAATTAGCCAATCTATTTCTTCGTTCCGATTCTAAGGTTCGTTCTGTTCTTTTTATTTATTTATTATATATTTATTATTATTTTTTTTTAAATATAAAGAGTTTTTTCTTCAGTTCTGTTTTTTTTTTAAATTGAATATAATTTAATTTAATTGCAGGTATGATGACTGGTTTGAGTGCACAAGGATCACAATCTGATAATAATTATAGATTTTACTCAAAGATGAATAATTTGTAAGTGTTGTCCACAATTAATTAATTAATGATATATAATTAAGGGTGATTTAATCGTAATCTTATATATTATGGTGCAGGCTTCAAGCTGATGATGGAGAGTTCTTCACAGATAATGATGAGCTTTATGTTAGTAGTCTTCAGCAGTGTCTTTTCGAAGCCGGTGTGTTTTCTCAACCAACAATTCTTTCATTCAAATTAAGCTAAATTATGAAAATCTCCCTTAACTTATGCTAAATTATGAATAATACCCCACCATAATTATCAAAATCCAAAACACCCCATCTATCCATAATTAGTAATTACCAGACCCCCGACGTTTGTTTTCGTCTTATACCGGCTTCTTTACCGTGTGATTTTTTCACGGAATCTTTTTTATTCTAGAGTATTTTAGTCTCTGAAAATGCCGATTCTACCCCTACAGACGTGGCAATTATTAACTATTTTTTTAAAGACAAAAATTATCATCAGAGATAATGTTAATACTAAAAGGTTGTGAATATATTACTTAAGAAAAATAAACATTCCGTGTAAAGGCTCCCTAAGTGTAATTTTTGTATTTAAAAAGTAGCATAAATAAATATAAAAAGTAGCATAAATAAATATCGCGCTTGCAGGGTGGCGGGAATTTTGGTAATTATGGATGTATATGGTTTTTTCATAATTAAGTTTAAGTTTAAGAGTATTTCCGTAATTTACCCAAAAATTTATATCAAAATAATGCTTTTAATTAAAATTTATTATTTTAATTTTTTTTCTTTGTGAAAAAGGGTTCGAGAAGCCACGTGGGATTGAGCAAAGAGGAGGCACAGGTGGTGCCACGTCATTATTCAGTCGGATCCTAGAGCAGATGAAGAAGTTTACCGGAACAGTCGGTGATTACCTTAGCGATAATCTTCCAGCTTGTTTTGGTGGGACCCACTTTAGCGACGATCATTAGTCTAAACAAGACAATTATCGATGGTAAAATGTGAATATTTGATTTAGCCCCACAAAAGATAAAGTTTCACTGCAAAGTAGTACACCAATTTTATTTATTTTCAAAAAAACCCCTTTACAGATTCAACGATATCCTTTTGGCAACTTTTACTATGCCTTCATTAAATGCAAATCCAAAATTTTATATTAACTCGTAATTAAATTATTGAATAAAATTAAATACGGATCAGAGATAGGCACGTGACAGTGCGAGTAAGCACGTGATCCCTCCTTCAAATTTGGGCGCCATATTCTCTTTGGTTAATTACTATTACTTGTTTTGGAACGTGGTTTCTGAGTAGTATTAATTTCATTTATTTATTTATTTTTCAATTATTCGTTTGTTTAGGTTAATTAACAACATATGTATTGTCAACGTCGATTAAACCAATCGAACTAACATCATCTTAATTAATAGTGAAAGAAGGTGAGATTTCTTATTCACCCTTTTTCTTTTCTATGTAACAAAGAAACTCGATCACAACCAATCATATATATAGGTGCACTGATCGTAAACCTACACTCTCGTATATATAGCAGCTTGCAAACCATACGAGAACGTAATTCTTATTCACCTTGAATATATTTACACATGTTATTCATTATTACCACGCTATGTACATTTATACAACATACTTATGCTATATATATATATATATATATATATATATATATATATTCTTAAATCAGTTTGACTTCATAATTTATAATTTGGCTAATCAAGGCAGTCCATGCATGTGAAATAATTAAACAACTAATTAAAATCCCCCATCTATGGATCCAACTATATATATAAATATATATATTAATATATGTATATATATATATATATAATACTATAAATATGATATTATTAAGATAACTAACACCCTAAATTTGAGTTTGGAAGTCATTCTCAAATGGTTAGGGTTTCTCTTTCAAAAACTCAATATATTAACCACACCAAAACCCTCTTCTTAATTGCCCTTAACTAATTATCAATAAAAATCACCCAACATCAAAAACAAAATATACTCCTCAACCCTAACCAAGAAAACCCTTTTTTTCAGAAAGTAGTAATTAATAAGCATATATACATACATATATATGATTATATATATATGATTATGAAGACAGAAGTATTAGCAGCACTAAACTCCATTAGGACAAAAAAGTCCCGCGAAGAAAGTCTGTACTCTTTTTCGAAACGGGTATCGGGTGATTTTCCGATCATGATCGACGACACTTCATCGGATGATGTTTACTATAGATCAAAAAGTTCGGTTGGGAATATTCCGTTCATGTGGGAATCTCAACCAGGCACACCTAAATACAAATCCAGCTGGCGGCCGGAATCTCCGTTACTAATCCCTCCTCTAACACCTCCACCTTCATTCCATTCCAGCCCGGCCGCCGTCTCCGCCAAAAAGAATCATAGTCAACGCAAAAAAAACAACCTCGTACCGAGTGTTCTTCTCCCCAAGCTCAAGCTCAATAACCAGTCCCCACCATCAAGGTCAACATCTTCTTCATCCTGGTCAACGAGCTCGTCGTCTCCGCTGAGTAGTAGCAGTACTACTCCGAAACAACGTAGGGTTCGGAGTTGTTCTTCTCCTAGGAGGATGACGTCATCGTTTGATGATTCCAGGATAGAAGAGCAGCAGGGTCATGAATCACGTGCTGAGTCACCGGTTTCCACGTCATCCTATGGTCAAAGCATTAATGGCAGGTCAAGTGGTTGCTATTCAAGTATTATTAGGCTGCTCTATGCTTGATTTCATTCTTGTCGTAAATTACGTTCATCCCTGAGGTAAGGTCAAATTATGAGAAAAAAATAAAATAAAATAATCCTTATTTTTTGGTAATTATAACTACCCAATCCTCAACTACGAATTTTCTTACATGTTCACCATTATTGTGTCAAATTTAGTGGAATCTTCTAGTTATGTAGAATATTTTCCAGTTTGTATCCGTTTTGTTTCATTCGAGCTCTACATGATTTTGAAACAAGCTAAGATAATTATAAGATTTGTCTATGGGTTTGTAAATATTAGATTGTGGTGCATCAGAAACTTAATTTTTGCACAAAATGACTATAAATTGGAGAATATTCCACTGAATCTAGAAGATTATGTTGAATTTAACACCATAAGAGTGAACGTGTAAGAAGATTCATAGTTGAGGGGTCTAATTGTAATTATCCAAACATATGGGTTTTTTTGTAATTTGACCATACCTCAGGAGTGACCGTAACTTAGCGATGCCAATTGTTAATTTGAATTTTAATTAAAATTCAAAATTCATCTTGCATGGAGGTCTTAATGAATGAATACATAGACTGTATTATAATGATTTAATCTATTGTATATAAATATCTATATATTTGTAGTATATATATAACATTATTTTATGACGTCACACACCAAGTAAATTAACAAATAAGTATAATTTCAAAATACAAAATGAGAGAGAGAGTCAATTACAATTGACACACAAATAAAAACAAAACCAAGGCCAACATGCCATTTATTGGATTCCAACCCCCAAAAAACCAAAAAAAAAAAAAAAAAAAAAAAAAAAAACCAATAAAAAAATCAAAACGAAATACTTTTATTAATAATTCAGATTGTGTAATCAATTGGCCCTCCTGCAATTCTTTCTGATCTCACCATTGGATCCAGTGAGGGGGCTGATGTCACCCATCTTGATCATAGCCGTGACGAAATCATCGTTGAACGTCTCAGGTTTCTTGCTGTACGTTTCGATAAGCGAATCCGTCGATCCACCGTTGTACAGAATCTGATCGGAGTGCAACAACCCCTTCTTCTTGATTAGGTTTTTGTAGTAAGCGTTGTCGAAGAATGTGGGGCTTTTGACGTCGAGTGAGGCCAAGTTATTGTCGCCCGACCCGGTCGTGCGGGGGCAGTTATCTTGTCTCTTACGAGCGAAAGAAGCGTCTATGTTCGTCTCGTTGTATATACGCGTTCGGAACAGGCTGCATCTCGCCTGCCCAATGGTGTGTGCTCCTGTTTTTTTAGACAAAATCAAAAATGAGTTTATTGCATTTAGTGCCCCTATGTTATATCAAATTGCTAAAAAAAACCCTAGATAATGAGTTTTTAGGGGGTGATTTGCTAAAAAAATTGAATTATGGGGTGTTTTAGCAATTAGAGAAAATGTGGGGTGTTGAATGCAAATATATATAAATATGAGGACCTGATAATGCAACCATGTCCTTGGTGGAGAGTCCTCTAGCTTGGAACCTATTGACAAGGTTGTTAAGAGTTGAAGTTGGTGGTGGAATCACACCACTATTTGCAGCCGCAAGGCTCGCCGTTTTCGAGTCTCGTCTTCCGACTTTCACATCCCATTCCGGCCCTCCGAGCTGCAATTAATTAATTTTAATTATTATATATTCAGTGGCGGAGCCAAGATGAGGCGACGGGGGGCGTGGGCCCCCGTCTTCAGATTCTTTCATACAAATGGAGCACTAGCTACAATGATTATAATTAAATATCGGTACTAGTTATAAAATTTAGGGTAAATTACAACCATTATAATTAATTATGATTTTTTCCTACACCTCCACCCTTATGGTGTCAAATTCAACATAATCATCTACATATCGTGGAATGTGCTCTAGTTTGTACTCGTTTTGTGTAAAAATACAGTTTTTGATGCACCACAATCGGATAAGTACAAGTCAAAAAACATATTATGATCATCTTGCTTCAAAATGTGGAATTCGGATGGGATAAAACGGGTACAAAAGTGATAATATTCCATATAATCTCGAAGATTCCACTAAATTTGAAATTGTAAGGGTGGACGTGTAAGAAGATTTATAATTAAGGGGTGGTTGTAATTGCCCAAACAAGAGGGGGTTTTCGTAATTTGACCATACCTTAGGGGATGGTTGTAATTTACCCAAAAATTTATAAAAACTCACAATGGAGACAGAATCGCGGGCGGCAATGGCTAGAATATCGGCGCATGAGACGACACCGGGGCACACGGACTCCACCTTGGACTTGATATCGTCCACAACGTTGAAACCCCTTATCGAATTATTGTTGGGGGCCGCAGTCTTCTCGCCGGTGAACGATGATGTGTCGTCCAGTAGTACTGACGCGTCACACCCCTGTCCAAATTTTAATAATCATATTAAGGTAATACATAATTACTAAAAAAATGAAGAAGAAAAATAATGATTAGCGCATCTAATGAAGCTTGAAAATTACGAGAAGTTAGTTATATATATAAAATACGTACTTGGACAAAACAATCGTGGAAGTGCAGTCGGATGAGGGAGGCGCCCATGCGTTTCTCCTTTTTGATCGCGGACTTAACGGCGGACTCGACGGTATCGAACACCTTCGGGCATGTCTTCTTGTAGTAATCCTCTGTCAGTTGAGCCGACGAGGGCCCCACATTCATCAATAAGACAATTAGTAAAGTCGCAATCACAAACACCGACGAATAAGACGAGGACGAAGACGAAGAAGAGGAGGCTGCCATTTTTTCGTGTATTTTGTTTTGTAGTGATATATATCGAGTTTGTTTGTTGTGAGGAAAAAGGGAGTGAATGTGCGTGTATATATATAGAGGTTCAATGCATGTATTTGGAAAAGCAGCTTACCAAATGATGCAGACGTTTTTTTTTTTTAATTTGTATATTAAATTTGCATGGCACTGAGAAAAGGTAAACAATTTTTTTGGTTATTTAATTAAATAAATAATATATGATGATAAATTACACGTTAATTACGTGAAAACATGAGTTGATGTTTGAGGGTGATTGGATTGGATTGGCCTGGGGGTGGTTGGTGGGGGTGGGGGTGGGGGTGGGGCAGGTGGGGAAATTTTCAAAGTTTGATTGTTCATATTAATTATTATATATTATTACATATTTTATTAGATATTTGTTAACTTGTAATTAGACACAGTACGTAATTAGATGTTTGGCCTCGTCAAGATGCCATGCAGGGACTATGATTAAATCGGTGAAATAGTCTTAATAGTGGATTAATTATATTATATGATTATATCATATTTTGACTATTTCTCAATTTTGTAATCAATAATCTTGAAAAAGTATTTACCAATTTTATATTAAACAAATAGATGATAACTTAGTCCTGCAAGGAATCGTATAACGGTTGGAGCAAGTGAGCTTGTGTCAGTTGACGCAACTTCGTATCCACATGCCAACAGTCGTTAGATCGAGCTTGTGACACGTAATTAGCTTAGTGTGATTACATTCAAACCCGCCTTATAAATATATGTTAGTTTTGTTAAACAAAAGATTTTATAGACAAATAACATTGATGATGCTAATTACTTAGATCACCTGGGGTGGTGTAGAAAATGAACTGGGAGAGCAAAGCAGATCAGTAGCTTGACAACTTGATGATCCTGAGGTACCTGCGATCATAGAACACATGAACTAAGCCGGGGGTTGATCCGCCGGAAACCCCTCCGACGCTCAAGTCAGACATGCTGATCATAGAAATAGTCCAGATAATACGTATTGTAGTATTGCTCAGTTAATTGGACGTACCTTATGGAATGAGTTCAAATGTGTATTTATAGCTTAGTTGAGATTGTCGGGCCCAAACCTTGCTTGAAGGTGATTGGGCCTCGGTGATAGTAGTCTTCGATATTGGGCTCGTGGCCCAGTAGGTAAATAATTTGTAGGCCCATTGGGTTGGGCCAATTAGGCATATCATTAAGCCCCCCACTCTCGAGTCGATGTGGGGCCCATGTTGAAATGGGTGACATATCGTGTCGAGAGTAAAAATTGTAGTGGTCGATGGTGTGCGATAACGCGTTGGAGCGTGTGTCGGAGGGGCGTGAATGCGCATTGGTGCATAGCGCGACCAAGTTGTCGCGATGTAAGTTAATTGAGTCGTCGGTTTTGTCCCGCGACGATGTAGTAGCGAATTATCTCCTCGTGGGAGTTGTCTCGTCGTGGGGTAATAGTGTTGATCGAGTTATCTCCTCGAGGGAGTTGTCTCACGATAATGTAGTAGCACAGATCAAGTAATCTCCTCGTGGGAGTTGTCTCTGGGGTAATAGAGTTGATCGAGTTATCTCCTCGTGGGAGTTGTCTCACGATAATGTAGTAGCACAGATCAAGTAATCTCCTCGTGGGAGTTGTCTCTGGGGTAATAGAGTTGATCGAGTTATGTCCTCGTGGAAGTTGTCTCACGATAATGTAGTAGCACGGAGCTAGTATTCTCCTCGTGGGAGTTGTTATTTTTCGACATTGTCAATGTTTTGACGCGTTGCTTATATGTGTTTATATATAGCCTTGTGCGTGATGTACTTGAGGAGGGGATCAGACTCTCAAGATTTTTTTTATGGGGGTCGTGCCCCTTGTTAGACCTCGTGGGTCTTAAGTATGTTTGGACCGTGGCCACGTTTTAATGAATGACCCATCGAAAACAAGTAGATAAATTTGAGTAATCAAGCTGGCCAGGCTATATAGATTCTCCTAATATCTCTAAGTGCTTCTAGGGTTGTAATTGTGCTAACTTGAGCTTGCGATTATATAGTGAATTTCATGCGAGTTGTCTCTTCGAGAGAGTTGTCTTGCAGCGAAGTTGTAGGAGCATTAGATGACGCGCGATTGAGGCGCGCGCGGATTGAGGTTGCTCTGAGCGAGTTGTCTCCTCGTGGGAGTTATTTCGCTGCGAGTCTTATTATCGAGCGAGGTGGTTGCACGTGGGAGTTGCCTTGCAACAGATTTGTAGTATCGAGCGAGTTGGCTCCTCGTGGGAGTTTCCTCGCTGCGGGTCGTAGGATGGAGCCACTACAACAAATGTATCCTTTAATAGCATTTATTTATAGCGTTTCCAACATAAGTGCTGTGGTAAATATTTAGTATTTTTAATTAATAGTAATTAAAAAATAAAAACGCTATATTAGATATTTGCCGCTATTTGCTAAAAAAATTGGAAAAAAAATTAACTCTGCCGCGTATTAGAATCCTTTAGCGTATTAGAACTCTGCCGTCTCTCCATCTTCCCTTAAACACGCAGCAGTTTTAAGAACATCGTTTATCAATTTCGAATCCTCTCCACGCTGAATCTTTGTTCCGATCATCTGGCATCGCTCACGCAAGCAGATAGATCTGAATTGGCGCCCCAAAATATTCGTCATATAGACATCCGTCTCTCTGGTCCAAATTGTTGGTGTTTTCTTGCCCACTCCATTATTTTTAAGCTGTAACAGGTATGGGCGTCCTCAATTTTTTGATTTGTTTATTAACCTTTTATTTTTTTAAAGAAGCCCTAATTCCCTAAATTAATTTCTCTTATTTGTGATTTTCGGTGTTCTTTCATGGATGGGGATCTAGACTTCGTGAGGTACTAAATTAATTGTCGTTTGTGCTGGTGATTCTTGTTGTGCACTGGAAATTAAAGGTAATACTTGTCCTTCTTGTCTTTCGTTTTGCAATATTGTACATAAAACAACTTGTATGTGGCAGTGATTAAAATCAATATGATGTATTTAAATCGCTCGCTCTTAAGGAATATAAATTGATGGAATCCAATTTATTAAAGACAATTTAAATTTTCAAAATTTGTTGATAGTATATGGCTATATGCAGTTTTTTTTTACTGTTCTTGATCTGGATGGTACAGAGTTTATCATGATTCACTCAAATATGTTAAGGATATAGTATGTTTTGATGAAATTGATTTGGGATATTAGGATATTAATATGTGAGAATAATTATGTGCTACATACTATTTTAATAATTGTGTGTTGTTTAGTGGAGTTTGTGTTTTTGAAATTAAAATCCAACTTAAGATGGAATTGACAGGCTCAATTTCAATCATATTGAGCCTGCTCGTTCCTATTCTCGAACCACCTTTTCGACAGTAATTAGATTCATACTCATGTATTAAACAATATAATTTGTTAGATTCGTGTTTGATGGTAAAATTTAATTATTTTTTGGGGATTAATCATGGATGCTTAATAGTTGAAAAAAAAAATCAAATGGTGATTTAGTTTTTTATGTCCACTAAAAATAAATAAATTGATTTTATAGGTAATAACTCAGCTTTGTGTAAGGTGAGTTAGAACTTGAAACTTACTGTTTTAAAACATAGGTATGAGTATATGTAATCACTTTACTGGTTGATAGTCTATAATAATTTGTTTTAGGATAGTCAGCAACAATCACTAAAGTGATTGTGTTTTTTGTAACAAAAATATTGGCGTCCAGAATCTGATTTTTGTCTGTTCATATTTCACTACTAGAGAATAACGAAAGAGGAAGGTTTCAGATATTTTACAATAACTATATATTTATTATAAGTATGAATTAGAATTGATCCATGCAGGATAGTGATCCCGGCAAATTTAAAAACTATTTATTTTTAATGTTTAAGCTGAAGCATGGTGTCTTGTTTTATTTGTTTCAATTTTATTTCATAAAATATAATTCAACTTTTCTCTATTTCATAGACCATAGTGTTGCCAGAATTTTGTATTTGTTGGTTCACTTTCAATTTTTGATTGTGTAATTTATGTGCTATATTTATGTGATGCTGGTTCATTTTAGAAATCCGTTGCACACATTATTGTGATAGTGTAGTGTAAGCTATAATGAAATCTTATTTTAGTTTCATTTTTTTGAACTTGCGTAACTTACAAGCAGTTTTTAATGTTTGAATTCTAGAATTTGCTTTGTTTAAGTGGTATAACCAGTATGCTGGATAAAAGTTGGGTGCGTCTTAGCAGGTAAAAAAATTATTATGGTAGTCATGATTTTTTTTTTTAATATAGATCACTAGAACAATAGTTTTTCTTTTTCTTTTTGGTGTTGTATTTTTTTTTCATAGAGCTGATCCTGAATATGAGAATGGAGCATGGAATTTTGTGAATACAGTGCTAAGAAACTTAGGGAATCCAGAGATGATCTTATGCCCTTGCATGGATTGTCGCAATGTAGATCACCAGTTTGCTAGTACTGTTGTTGAACATCTAATTACAAGAGGAATGGATGGCAAGTATAAACAAAGACAAGATTGGTACGTGCACGGCGATGATATAACTGTTGAAGATACAAATAACGATGTAGTTAACGATGAGGCGTATAACTTGTATCGAACTGCCCATTTCTTAGATGAAGACTATATGAGGTCTAATCAATTTGTTAATGAAAACAACGACGAGCCTACGGAAGACATTCATGATGATGATTTTAGAGCAAAATTAGAAGAAGCAGCAACACCTTTGTACCCTAACTGCTCGAGTTATAACAAATTATCAGGCAATGTAGCTTTACTCCGACTTAAAACTCGTAGTGGGTGGTCCAATAAGAGTTTTAATGAACTACTTAGTATATTGGCTGATATGCTCCCAAAGGACAATGTAGTTGAAAAAACATTTTACTCGTTGAAAAAGTTTATCAAGACATTTGAAATTGGGTATGAGAAGATTCATGCTTGTGTCAATGATTGTTGTCTATTTAGAAAAGAGTATCAGGACTTGGAAAACTGCCCTAAATGTGGTGTATCGAGATGGAAGATAAACAAGAGGACAAATGAGATTAGAAAAGGTGTTGCAGCTAAAATTTTGAGATACTTCCCCATTATTCCTAGGTTTAAAAGGATGTTTAGATCCGAACGAACAGCCGAAGATTTAAGGTGGCATTTTAGTAAGAAAAGTAATGATGGAAAAATGCATCACCCGGTTGATTCTGTAACATGGGACTTGGTTAATGATAAATGGAAATCATTTGCAGCTGATCCACGAAGTCTTAGACTTGGTCTATCTACCGATGGTTTCAATCCATTTTCTATGTTAAGTTCCAGATATAGTTGTTGGCCAGTTATGCTAGTTACATATAACTTGTCTCCATTATTGTGCATGAGTAAAGAGAATATTATGTTAACACTACTTATTCCTGGTCCAAAGCAGCCTGGTAACGACATAGATGTTTATTTACGACCACTTATAGAAGACTTGCAACGATTGTGGCAAGATGGAGTTCAGGCTTATGATGCATTTACTAAGAGTATTTTCAAACTTAGAGCAATTTTGTTGTGGACCATCAGTGATTTTCCAGCATATGGTAACCTTGCTGGGTGTTGTACAAAAGGTAAAAAAGCATGTCCGCTTTGTGGAAAGTGTACAGATCACAAATGGTTATCAAATAGCAGAAAATTTGCATATATGGGCCATAGAAAATTTCTACCACCTAGGCATTCATATCGCGAAAAAAAATCGTGGTTTGATAATAATGTGGAACATGGTAGGAAACCGAAATTCTTGACAGGCCGAAAAATTTGTGCTGTTCTCAGAAATTTTGTGAATGATTTTGGAAAAATTAAAAATACGAAAAAGAAAAAGACCAACCAATATCATTGATGAAGCAGATGACGATGATGATGATGATGATGATGATGATGTTGATGATGATGAAATTAATGATGCCAACAACATAGATAATGATCAAGATGAGCTTTCAAGGTGGAAGAAAAGATCTATCTTTTTTGATTTGCCATACTGGGAGGTTAGTTTTTATTTCTTAGTGTTTTTTTTCATCCAAGTTAATATTAAAAGTATAAATAATAAGTTTTACTATCATGATTTTCAAGGAACTTCCATTGCGACACAATTTAGACGTAATGCACGTAGAGAAAAATGTTTGTGAAAGCATAATAAGTACAATATTGCATTCTGGAAAGTCAAAAGATGGGGTTAATGCTCGAAAAGATCTACAGGATATGCACATCCGAAATGACTTACACCCACAATTTCGTGGTACCAAAACATATCTACCACCAGCTCCTTGGACATTATCAAGGTTTGAGAAAAAAAAATTTTGCAAGAGACTATATGATTTCAAAGGACCTGACGGTTATTGCTCAAAAATCGGAAATTGTGTGGCATTAGAAGAATGTAAGATTATTGGTCTCAAATCTCATGATTATCATGTTCTAATGCAACAGTTGCTTCCAGTTGCTCTACGAGGATTGCTTCCAAAAGGTCCTCGAACGACAATACACCGGTTATGTATTTTCTTTAACAAGTTATGTCAACGTGTAGTTGATCGAGAGAAAATTGCAATACTTGAGGAAGAGGTTATAGAAACTCTATGCATGCTTGAAAGATATTTTCCACCATCTTTTTTTGATATTATGGTACACTTAATAGTTCATCTAGGAAGAGAAGTTCGATTATGTGGACCTGTTCACTTTAGGTGGATGTATCCATTTGAAAGGTAATTATTAATATATTTTATTTTTCTGATTCATATTTAAGTTTAGTTACACTTTTTACAAGTTGTTTCTTCTTTAGATATATGAAGATACTTAAAGACTATGTAAGAAATTATGCACGGCCTGAAGGGTGTATCGCTGAATCATATATTGGAGAAGAATGTATTAGATTTTGTAGTGAGTTTTTGAAAAAATCTATACGGGTAGAGGAAAAAGAGATTCGCAATGAGGAATTTTCTAGTGAAGTAATACTTGAAGGCCGTCCAATTTCCGGAGCCACGTCAATAACATTAAGCAACCGAGACAAAAGAATTGCACATCTTGCTGTTCTTATGAATACATCCGAAGTGGATCCATATTTAGAGTAAGTACGATTTAATTTTCAAATTTACATACTATAAACAAATACTTCGTTAAGTTTCTTAATAGCATGCACTTGACGGAGTTGCAAGACTCAAACGTGCGTTTAAGAAAAGATGCAACATTGCTTTGGAGTAGACATACCGAAAAATTTGCAGAATGGATAAAAGACAAGGTTAGGTGAAGTTGTTAAGCATTATTTTTATTTAGTTAATTACTGTATACTTATTTCAAAATACTTTGTATACCTTTTGATGAATTAAATAATCTACACTATTACAGATCCCTATTGATTCAATTAGTCACTCCGATACATTGAAATGGATTGCATATGGACCACAGGAAAATGCGTTGTCATATACAGGATATATTATCAATGGACAACGATTTCACACAAAAGACGTCCATAAAGAAACCCAAAATAGTGGGGTGATTTACGAGGCAACTAGCTTGTGTAGAGCCAGTGCAAAGGATACATCACAAGTCACTGATTTGGTTACGTACTATGGAATATTGACAGATATAATATTATTGGATTATCACGTATTTTATGTTCCGATATTTAGATGTGACTGGGCAATTCAAGGTAATGGTGTTAAAGTTGAGGATGGATTTACTCTTGTGAACCTTCACCAAAGTCAGATATCGTTTGCAAAAGATCCATACATCTTAGCATCTCAAGCAAAACAAATATTTTATTCGAGAGAAGACGATTCTTCTAATTGGTATGTTGCGTTAAAGGCACCACCAAGGGGCTTATATGAGTTTGAAGATGGCGATGAAGATGATGATAATATAGATGTTGCTTCAATGCCACTATCAATAGACGTGGACCTTGATGAGTCTGATAATGAAGTTGGGCATATTAGGGAAGATTGTGAAGGACTGCTAATTTAATTTTATAGTTTCCTCGTATCGAAAGTACTTATATTTTTATTTCTTTTTTGGAGGGTGAGATCAGGTTTGAAATATTTTGCGACATATTTGCTACTTTTGTAGTGCCTCTATATTTGTTGCTTTGCTTTGAGTTTTATGTCATTTTACAGGGACTACTGTACATCACCGTCGTTAACATTTTCTTATATTGCATCCATCATAAAATTTGGACTGTTGATTATTATTATTTGCTTCTAAAAGACATGTATCTAAATATTATGATTTACGTTGTGGTTTGAAACTGAAAATTATGAATCATGTGTCGTGGTAGTTTTAAAGTGAAGTCTAGTTCTGTTTATAAATCATATTTCTTGAGGTTCCTATCTCCGGTATAATCATTTAATCGATGGTATATTTACTACTTTTCTTGCAGGTAAACCATGGTTGCTAATGGCAAGACCAGGTGTTCAAAAAAAAGAAAGTCTGGTGGAGAGATCACACAAGCTGTTATTCATTCTAATGCACAAGATGGTATCATGCAAGCAAACCTGGAAACATGTCGAGATACATCAATGCCCAGTGAAAATAGTCTTCAACAATACTCAAATTCCCTCAAAGAAATGAACCAAGAAGATGTATCATTATCAGAAGATTCAACAGAAGGCCTTATTGGATCTAAAAAGACTAGGGGTCCAACTAAAATGAGAAAGATTGCTATAGAGCCTGGAAGTCGTGTACATGTCGACTTTACTGATAAAGGTCAACCATGTGGAGATGGGTCAATTAAATTATCTTCTTATTTAGGTCCACTGGTAAGAGAACATGTACCTGTAACTCTTCAAAATTGGAGAAAGCTTGGTGAAAATATAAAAGTAGTTTTATGGAAATCAATTCAGGTATTATAAGTCATTGTTTTACTCTTAATCTTATATAGATGTCGGTTGATACATCTTTGTAAATTAAGTGTAGATAAATAACTTTTTTCAATCTTTATAGTGTATCACTCAAACGAATTTTGTTTTTCTATTTCAGGCAAGATTCGATGTGGGTGGAGAATGGAAAAAAGAAGTTTTATTTAGATCAATGGGATGTCAGTGGAGGGCTTCAAAATCAAGGCTAGTAAAAAAAATACGAGAAGCAAAAAATGAAGAAGAAAGACTTCAACTGCAACCTAAGAACATTCAAAATAGAGCTGAGTGGAGAAAATTTGTCCGAGAAAAAATAAGTTCAACATTTACAGTATGTCTGAAGTGAAATTTTATAATAATACTCATGTGATCGATTTGTTAAAGTGATACTTTCTGTGATGTAGAAATGCTAATTTAAGTGTTAAATTCATGTTATTTAATAATTGAGCATCTACTGACATAAAATAATTTCAGGGTGTCAGTGAAAAATATAAGGCAATGAGGCGTAAACAAATCCCACACACATGCAGCCGGAAAGGAATGGCACGACTGGCAGAAGACATGGTAATCCTCACTTTTTATGCAATACATTATTACTTTGACGCTTTTCTTACTGATTACAATCTTTTATTGTTATAGAAAATAAATAGTGCAGCCTCATCTTCTGTGTCGAGGGTCAAAGTTTGGATTAAATCACGTACCAAAAAAGATGGTACACCAGTTAATACAACAGTTTCAGAAACTATAGTAAGACAATCATTTTATATTGTTTTCTTATTTTCAAAATTTATGCACCACACTTGTATGATCTTTCAAAATTGGATATTTAGTACATGAGTGGTTATTGTAGGAGAAACTCAATGAATTTGAAATTGATTCACCATCCTCATCAACAACAAATGTGAGAGAGGACTCTCTTACCAAGGTCCTTGGACAAGATAGATGTGGACGCGTGCGAGGAATGGGAAGAGAAATGACAATGAGCAAATTGGCATTGTTTCAAATCAAGAGTGATTATGTAGCTGAGATGGAAGAAAGAATAAAAAAATTAGAGAATATTGTCAACACAGGGGTAAAAGATAAGGCAAGTTCTATTAATTGGAGAAAATTATGTAATGATCCTTTTTTTTTTATTAACACCATCTAAAATTATTTTATTAGATTCAAGAAAATGCAAAGGTGGACAAAATACCTCCAAAGGCAAGTATTTACATTCAGTTTTGATTATTGTTTACATGATTTTCATATATTATATTTATGAAGTTTGTGGCTTTGTCGGGTCAATCACCATTGTGTTAGCATAAGTTTCATTCATGTTCTTCATTTTTTTGTTGAGTTAAGAAATATAGTTGAATAATATTAGCCATTATGATTATCATACTTTAGCTTTAAGAAATATATTTGATGGATGACTAGTTCTTATTTCACTGACATGTTTTTCTATTATTTTTTTTATCCTACTATTTTTTTTTATATTTAGGTTGTCAATACCATGTCAGTGAATAAGTGTAAGTTATTAGATTGGCTTGGAACAGAAGATATTGTTGCTGAAGGACATTTGATATCAGATGATCCAGAAGAGCTAGTTGATAAAATTCCTTTGGGACCAAATGCATTGAAAGTTTGCGTTGATAATCCAAATAAACCCGATGCTTTTCTATGGAGACCTACAACTACTATGACTTGTATGCAACAAGCTCAAGGTGAACCGATTGCCTGGCCTGTTGACCGCGTTATCATACAAACAGAGCAACATTCTGAGAGGCGAGAAAACACGTCCTCACATTCGGTAAGATACTTTTTTTCTATATTACATATTTTTTTTATTTGTAGTTTGTTGAATAAACACCCGTTATCAAATTGTTTGAAATTTTGTAAAAATATGGCTCGTGTGCTTAAATTATTTTCTCTACTCCACATTTATTTATTATGGCATTGATCTCTATTAATTAATTGAATTTGAGCAGGAGACAGTGATTTTTATTCTCTCTGAGTTTTTCTTTAATTTGTGGTGAAATTTCATGTAATGAATTGTGTTTAACTAGTATGTACCTTGTGTGATATGCATTTCTCTTTGGTAGAATACTTCAAGAACTAGATGTATATTATTCGATTGGAGTGGAAAAAATGAAATAGTTGCTGAAGGTTTCTTGCAATCGAGTGACCCAAATGCTTTGGTCAATAATATTCCTCTCGGACCCAATGCCATGATAGTTTGTGTAGATGTTGCAATAATTCCTGAAGCATTTCTCTGGCGTCCTACAGTGGATTTGGTACGCGTTAAAGATGCAGTTAATTCAGCTATAGCTTGGCCAGCTAGTAATGTAATTCTTGAAAAGTCGACAGAAACTCGAGAAGAAAATCGATCATCTCCTACGGTAAAGAGTTTTTTTTTTAATGTATTATAATTTATAATTCGTTTGAAATTTATCATAAGCTTTTCAATAATGTTACATTTGACAGAGTGTGAATACTAACAATGTAAGGAAAAAGTGCAAGTTGTTGGATATTCGTGGATCTGGTGAAGTAGTTGCAGAAGGACGAGTTAGTTCAAGTGATCCAAACGAGTTAGTTCATTTTGTTCCTTTAGGTCCTAATGCTATGCGAATTTGGATTGATACTGTGAAAGTTTCTATCGCATCTCTTTGGAGGCCTACATCTGAAATGGAATTCATGGAAGATGCATTTGGAACTACAGTAGCATGGCCATCAGACAAAGTGATTATATCTTAGAGTTTGGTAAGCAACGAAACTTTAAAATATATTGTATTCTTTCTTCAACATATTTATATTCATATACTTTCTTTTGTGTTAATATAAATATATATATATTTTTTCTTCACAGGTAAAAGAATGATTATGGATATGGATAATGAATGTGAGGTGCAATTCATGTAGACATGACTTCTTTGCCGGAATCCTTTCGTTTTTAAATATTATTCATACATTTTTATATTTATATGTTTTTATACTTTGGTAATATGAATGTTACTAGCTAGATAGCTATTTTTGGTTTTTAGATTTTTGACTTTGGTTGAGATTATATTAATGAGAATGATTGTATTGTGTTATCTTGATCAATCATGATGGTATAAATTTCATTCTGTCACATGTTCATTTTTTAATTTCTCGAGCTGCTGTAGTATGTTATAAAACGCTATGGAACAGGTTGATGTAGCAACAGCGAGAAAACGCTATTTGAAATTGATTATAGCGCGTATACACTGGAATAATAAAGCTTATAATAGCATCCAATCGTCGCTATTGTATGTAAATATTATAATAGCAGTTATGAAACGCTATCAAAGGCCGACATATAACTGCCAAAAACTGTTGTTATAACTTTGTTATAGCCTTAATAAAGCGCTATCATAAATTGTTTCACAGCGTACAATAAACGCTATTGTAACACGAGTTCTAATAGCGCTACGTTAATGCTGTAATATACCCCCAACCTACGATAGCTTGACAATACATAGCGTTCGGTAAAACGCTATAAAAACGTTTAATAGCGTTTGTTACGTGCTATAGATAGAAATTTATGTTGTAGTGAGCGAGTGGTCTCCTCGTAGGAGTTATCTCGCTGTGGGTTCGTAGACCCGAGGGAGTTGACTCCTCGTGGGAGTTGCCTCGCAACGGGTTATATGACTGAGCGAGTTATCTCCTCGTGGGAGTTATCTCGCTATGGTTTCGTATACCCGAGGGAGTTGGCTCCTCGTGGGAGTTGTCTCGCTGCGGGTTGTAGGAAGGAGCGAGTGGTCTCCTCGTGGGAGTTATCTCGCTATGGTTTCATAGACCCGAGGGAGTTGGCTCCTCGTGGGAGTTGCCTCGCAACGGGTTATATGACCGTGCGAGTTCTCTCCTCGTGGGAGTTGTCTCGCTACGAGTTGTAGTTCCGAGCGAGTTGGCTCCTCGTGGGAGTTGTCTCGCTGCGGATTCGTAATGCCGATGGAGTTGGCTCCTCATGGGAGTTGTCTCGCAAGCCCCCCACTCTCGAGACGATGTGGGAGCCAAGTCGAAAAGGGTACCGGATCGTGTCGAGAGTAGATCGGTGCTGTAGTCTTGCGTTAATCGTTGGCATGGCGTGGAGAAATAATTTTTTTTTTATTTATCCGTTTGATAGTGAGCGCGACTTGGTAGGCGCGTTGAATAGCTCGCGCAATTTGGTTAAGCGAGGTGAAACTATCAAGTGATTTGGTGGAGCGCACAGAAATTCTCGCGCGATTTAGTAAAGTGCGTCAAAATCTTCACGTGATTTGATGTAGAATTTTGAGAGTTGTGCGCGACCTCAGGTAAGCGCGCGCTACGAGGTAGGAGAGGCGGCACGCATTGTAGGACGCTGATGTGCCTGAGTTTGCGCGCACTTGGGGTCCATGCTCGCAGTAGCCCACATGGGGGGGGGCACGCGCGCATGTAGTGCACGGAGAGAGAGAGAGTGTAGAGCTGTTAAGAATTTTATGAGGAGCTGATAGGGACTTCCTCGAGAGTGACGCAGCATGTTGCTTTATTCACTTTTTCTTCTCCTTTTTTTTTTTTTTTTTGTTTCAGGAAGCATGCCGGATGCGCGCCTCGGGAAGCGTGTCGAATGCGCGCCTCGGGAATCGTGTCCAACTTGTTTTTTTTTTCTCGGGAATCGTGACCGTTTTTTTCTCGGGAAGCGTGTCGGTTGCGCCCCTTAGGATTCGTGCCCTCGGGAGCCTCGGGGATCGTGCCCGATTAGTTTTTGCCTCAGGAATCGTGCCCATTTTTTTGCCTCGGGAAGCGTGCCGGATACGCGCCTCGGGATTTGTATCCGCGCGCGCATCGGGAATCGTGCCAGAGTATGTCTCGGGAATTGTGCATTTTTTGCCCCAAGAATCGTGCCCGTTTTTTTTTTTTTTTTTTTTTTTTTTTTTTGCGGCACAGAGTGCGCGCATGATGGGGCGCGGGGCGCAGGCTAGCTGAGCGCGCGGGGAACAGGGCGCGGGGCTTGCTGGACAACCGGGGCGCGGGGCGCGAGGGCGCACCCGGCAAGAGCGTAGGGGGCGCGCGCGTGGGAGAGCGGGGCGCAAGCGTGCGTGCGCGTCGGAGGGTGGGGCGCGCGCGGCAAGGGGGGCGTGCGCGCGCGTGTTGGGGATCGGGGCGCGAACGCGCGCGCTTGTAGGGGAACAGGGCGCGCGCGCGCGTGTCGGGGAGCGGGGGCGCGCGCGCGTGTCGGGATCGGGGGCGCGGGCGTGCGCGCGCGTCGGAGGGCGGTGCGCGCGCGGCAAGGTGGGCGCGGGCGCGCGTGTTGGGGAGTGGGGCGCGCGCGCGCATGTGTCGGGGAGCGGGGCGCGCGCGCGTGCATGTGTCGGGGAGCGGGGCGCGCGCGCGCGCGTGTGTCAGGGAGCAGGGCCGCGCGCTCGTGTCAGGGAGCGGGGGCACTGCGCGGGCGCGGGGCTGCTGGGGAGCGGGGCGCGCGATGTGTTTTAATCTGGGCTTAA